AGTGCAAAGATGTACAGAGAAGAGCATGCTGTGTTCCTTCAAGAGTGAAAAGCCTTTCTCTTCCATACTAGCCTGGCAGGGAGGAGCAGTCAAATCAGCCTTCACAGACTTGTTAGTACCTCCTGGACTTTTCAGAATCACTTGGTAATAACTGAAGGGCAAATAAATCCATCAAAGTGATGGGTCTCTAATATTCAAAAGTGTAAAAAGTTATTAAATTCCAAGGCTGTTATATTCATAACGTTTGTTTATAAGTTGGTTGTTTGATACTTGGTACTCTTTTATTCAAAGATGTAATGTTATAAATGATAATTAGTTCCCAGGCTAGCCTACAAATGATAGGTCAGATATATAACACTCTAGTAAGGAAAGAGCAGCAGACACCACTGGCAAGAAGCTGCTTGTTAACTTTTGTTTTTGAAACAGAGCATGTGAGGACTCACAAGTGGACACACAGGGCAATAAACAAGTAACAAAGTAGCTCACCGCCTATCTTGCTAAGCTACCAGAAGTTTCCAAAAGTAATTGCATATTCCCATGTGCAACAATTGTTATATCTGAATACTCAAATAATGAGCATCATACTATCTTATGGTGATTTGCCTGGAAGTTTGGATGACTGTTTGGAAGAAGAGTCATTTCTGTTTTCCAGCAGTAATTCATTCTCTCCACAAAGACTGAGCAACTCTAGATACTATCTGCCAGCCTGTGGCGACAGGTGAATATTCTTGGGGAACTGACGCTCCAGCCAGTGCTCAGGGCTTGTTTTAATCTGACTCTGAATGCAGTCTTCCTTCCTCATGTGCACTGCAAAGTGGGCTGCAGGGTAGAAGGGACCTCACTTGGGTGGGGCTGTGGTGGAGGTGACATGTACATCCCTGAACAGCCAAGCACACGTTTCTTCAGTACAGATGAAGTCATCTGCTTTGTAACTCATTAGAACTATGCTATAGTGGCCATTTCTTTTCTTGTTTGGTTATTTACAAAAGTAACTTGTATCTATTTGTAAAAAGTCAAACAATTCCGAATTGTATAAAGAGAAAAAGATAATCTTCATGCCCCTTTTCAATCTCATCACTCTAAATTAACTAATAGTAAATAATTTGGTTAAACAAGGTTTTTCATTCGCCTCACTTTTTTTTTTTTTTTTTTAATAGGGCAAAGTTGAAAACAGGAACACATTGGACCTTCTATTCTCAAAAGGGAATAAGATGTGGAAGAGATAAGATAGAGAAAAAACTGTGAAAGCAAGACTTTCTCATCAGGCTCCCCCCACTGCTTCTCCTGTGCCATCACTGCTGCTGCTGCTGCTTTTTTTCTTCTTTTTTGAGACAGAATCTCACTCTGTCAACCAGGCTGGAGTGCAGTGGCATGATCGCGGCCCATTGCAACCTCTGCCTCCTGGGCTCAAGCAATTCTCAAGCCTCAGTCTTCCAAGTAGCTGGAATTACAGGCACGCACCACCACATCCAGCTAGTTTTTGTATTTTAGTGGAGACAGGGTTTTGCCATGTTGGCCAGGCTGGTCTCGAACTTCTGACCTAAGTGATCCACCTGCTTGGACCTCCCAAAGTGCTGGGATTACAGGCATGAACCACTGTGCCCAGCCCATCACTGCTTCTTCTAAGCCACCTGGTGTGACGTTGCCTCCTAAGATGGAAGTGAGGAAAAGGGCACTTATCTGTCCAGAGGACTCCTGCTTTGCCTACATTCTGCTGTTATTAAATCATGGCTGTGGCTCTGGGAAACTAATTCATTAGGCCAATACAATGCTGGAATGCACTACCAAGAGAAGCTCTGGAGTCTGACCCTCTCTCGACACTTCAGAAGAGAAGGGACAAGCATGTGGTGTGGTGGCTCCAGTTCTTTCCTTGGCTGGTCACTGAGGGCTGGCCAGACGATCTGGCCTGGCTTTGCGTCCTGTTTGCCGCCATGTTGCACATGATGACCCTGACTGCACATTCATAACTGGGCTGTTTACACACAGGGTGGTGAGGGGAAAGGGAGGCCGCTGACGGGCAGAAGCTGAAGGACTTACGCATCGCCTGCACTGATGGTCATAATTTTCTGGATGCCCCCGGTGTTTAGAAGGTCCCGTGCATTCTGGTAACTGTTTTGGATTATGTTGTTCAATGTGTAACAGGCAGAAGCTGTAGTTTCAATGAGAAGGTCAGTACTTGGGACTGTGTCAGGAATGATGGAAACCAAATCGGGGAGAGTTTCTTTGGCTACAAAATGAAAAAAAAAAGAACACTTGATTTAAAAGATTGTTTCTTAATTCCAAAATCCCAATACATTTTGGGTAATGAACATTTTTTTTTTTTTGAGACGGAGTCTTGTTCTGTGCCCAGGCTGGAGTGCAGTGGCACGATCTTGGTTCAGTGTAAGCTCCGCCTCCCGGGTTCACTCCATTCTCCTGCCTTAGCCTCCCGAGTAGCTGGGACTACAGGTGCCCGCCACCACGCCTAGCTAATTTTTTTGTATTTTTAGTAGAGAGGGGGTTTCACTGTGTTAGCCAGGATGGTCTCAATCTCCTGACCTTGTGATCAGCCCGCCTCGGCCTCCCAAAGTGCTGGGATTACAGGCATGAGACACTGCGCCTGGCCAAGAACATTCTTAAAAAGAAACACAGCTGGTTAACAACACATGGAAAGATGTAATTTCCCTAATAACAAATTTTTAAAAATATTTGAAAAGAGGATACTCTGTGCTCAGCACATTGAAAATCTTTTCAGAATGTAATTTGGCAGAAATGTCAAGAACTTAAAACATTTTCATCTTCTTCAATTCGGTCATTCCATGTCTAGGAATACATCTTAAAAACATCGCTTTGAAAATGGAAAAAGCTTTCTACAGAGATCTTTATGACAGTACTACACGTAAATGAAAAACTAAAAAGCCTGAATATCCTAATAATAGGAATATGATTAACTAAAACACACCTGCAAAGACTATTATTCATCACAAAACCTATCTATGAAGCATGTGTAATAAAAAGAAAATAATTATGCTAATAGTGTATGTGAAAAATCTGTATATTTATTTATATAAAGAATACATAATATTATTGGCCAGGTTTGGTGGCTCACACCTGTAATCCCAGCACTTTGGGAGGCTGAGG